TAACTAAAAGCTGAAAATTAACTCGCCGAGAAAGATTCAACTTAGAGGACAATTGGACGAATTTACATCTGTGGATGAAGCCAACAGACCGTTGGAGTGACCGATTGGACGGGGGGGGGGAGGGCAGGACAGTTGCCTATAGTCCCCCCAATCCCCAATGTCAAAGGGGGATCTCAGTCTCGGTAGAGCTGAGCGTTCGCAGTTACAATCAATGGACGCATGGCGATGGATTGTGCCAGGACGCCCCCAACCTGCAATGCACATATCCATCTGACCGCCCCGGGAAACGACCGATTTCGGAATCTTAACCAGGGAATTGGGTTCTTCCTCCGGTTTCAGGCGGTCCTCATATTACACGGTTTTGGAAAATCTAAAGTCGATTGTACAGAGATTGTATGGTCAGATGGTAACATGTAGGGTGACCCTTAGATGTCCAGTTGGAGCAACCAAAGGATGGGAACTGATGCCCCCCATAGACGTAGGGTCGCATTGTGACAACAATGGGAATAGGATTGTGTGTGTGTGTGGTAGAACGTTCCATCCACCATCTCATGTCTGTGGCCACCCCATTGTGCCCAGAGATAGTCACCACTGTGCCCAGAATGGGTCACCTGGACACACCTGAACAATACTGCGCCAGATCAGGGAGGGTGAGTGTTGGGGTTACAGGGAGGGTCAGTGTTGGGGTTACAGGAAGGGTTAGTGTTGGGGTTACAGGGAGGGTCGGTGTTGGGGTTACAGGGAGGGTCAGTGTTGGGGTTACAGGAAGGGTTAGTGTTGGGGTTACAGGGAGGGTCGGTGTTGGGGTTACAGGGAGGGTCAGTGTTGGGGTTACAGGAAGGGTTAGTGTTGGGGTTACAGGGAGGGTCGGTGTTGGGGTTACAGGGAGGGTCAGTGTTGGGGTTACAGGAAGGGTTAGTGTTGGGGTTACAGGGAGGGTCGGTGTTGGGGTTACAGGGAGGGTCAGTGTTGGGGTTACAGGAAGGGTTAGTGTTGGGGTTACAGGGAGGGTCGGTGTTGGGGTTACAGGGAGGGTCAGTGTTGGGGTTACAGGAAGGGTTAGTGTTGGGGTTACAGGGAGGGTCGGTGTTGGGGTTACAGGGAGGGTCAGTGTTGGGGTTACAGGAAGGGTTAGTGTTGGGGTTACAGGGAGGGTCGGTGTTGGGGTTACAGGGAGGGTCAGTGTTGGGGTTACAGGAAGGGTTAGTGTTGGGGTTACAGGGAGGGTCGGTGTTGGGGTTACAGGGAGGGTCAGTGTTGGGGTTACAGGAAGGGTTAGTGTTGGGGTTACAGGGAGGGTCGGTGTTGGGGTTACAGGGAGGGTCAGTGTTGGGGTTACAGGAAGGGTTAGTGTTGGGGTTACAGGGAGGGTCGGTGTTGGGGTTACAGGGAGGGTCAGTGTTGGGGTTACAGGAAGGGTTAGTGTTGGGGTTACAGGGAGGGTCGGTGTTGGGGTTACAGGGAGGGTCAGTGTTGGGGTTACAGGAAGGGTTAGTGTTGGGGTTACAGGGAGGGTCGGTGTTGGGGTTACAGGGAGGGTCAGTGTTGGGGTTACAGGAAGGGTTAGTGTTGGGGTTACAGGGAGGGTCGGTGTTGGGGTTACAGGGAGGGTCAGTGTTGGGTTCACTTTACACTGGAGAGGTTTTCTGCCTTCGTTATTGTCAGCCATAAGAAACTGAAGTAGGGATCTCCAATGAAGGTCTCTTCCCGTTGGAAGTCGGCAGGTGACACAAATCAGACTTAATCCCCTTCTATAAACCAAGACAAGCCGGAAATCCTTCCATTCCCCGGCGTCTTCCCCTCCGTGACTCATTTTTTTGGGGGTTATTGGAAATCTCCGAGCTGAAAGAGCAACTTCAGGCAACAAGTATAGACACCCCAATGCACTGCTGAGGCCAGCAAGAGCTGCAGATGTGCTCAAGTACGCTCAGCGCCGGTAGCTTTCTAGTACCAAGGAGGATCTAACCCATGACCTCCATCTTCAGAGCAGGACCCACTTTCCCATGTGGCATGGATCCATCTAGACCAAGGGCGGGCAACCTCGGCACTCCAGCTGCGGTGAATCTACATCCCTCTGCCTCCGGGAGTCAGGCCTGTGGCTGTCAGAGTCTTGCAATGTAGTTCCATATTACCTGGAAGTGCTCGCCGGGTAATGTGGTCCACGGTGGCTCCAGAGGAGCATGGCATCCCTTCCCATAGGTTGGTCACCCAATCCTGCTGAGAACTTCCAGTTTCACGTCACCCAACCAGAAGCCACCATTGTGAGACCCCCCACTATCCCCTCCCCCCCCCTCAGGATTGGCCAGAGCAGGAAATGTTTTCCCAGTCCTCCATTGTCCAGTTTTGGTGACCCATCGTCCACTATTGACCACGTTCCTAGAGCTGGCTGTAGAGGAACCCAACGTGGTCTTCTGCTGCTGTTGGCCTCCATCTTCAAGGTTCCATGTGTTCAGTGACAACGTGGCTGCGAACTGTGAAGAGCATTTGGAGGACTTCCTGAGAGCCAAAACGTCTCCATTGCCCCCCGACCTCTCTTCTTCGCCCACACAACCTTAGGGTTAGGGTTAACCCACACAACCCGGAGGTCAGCAGTTTCTGAGATGGCCCACCACCACCAACCATTCCTCGGCCAAAAGTCAACCTAGATCTCTCCCAGTCTAACAGCTGAACCCCTGCATGCTTCATGTATTGAATATGCAGAGCGATATAGCCGACGCGTTTCGGAGGCTCACTCCCCCTTCATCGGTTCTTGTTCCCTGGCTGGATTTAGGTTATGCTAGACAGCCAGAAATATAAAACTGAGATTAGAGAGCGGTCAGAGCGGGGACTTGTGATGTCTCTAATCCTTATTGCGTGTATATCTGCTACCAAATATCAGCCGGCACACAAGTCCTGACGAAAGGTGGAGCAGTGAGCCGCCGAAACGCGTTGAGACAATCCTTGGGGTGCTCTCCACGTTTTACATGCCAGTTTAAGACGAGACAGAATCTGGTTGGTTCCTCTGATAATTAAGGACTTTCACAGACCACCATCAATGAGGCTCTGGGTTTTATTGAGATGCACATGTTAAGGGGGGGGCGGGGACAACTGAGATTGAAATGCGTTCCTGTGGTTAAAATCCGGAATAGGAGAACTTCACATTGATATTGTCATTGCTTATATATGGGAAGGAGGATTGGTTTAAAGGCGGAGTTCCACTTTAAAGCTCAGCAGCATCCAAAAAAGCCCGAACCTCTGATTTTCCACAGCCGACTACTCTGCGGTAGCAGGGAGGATGTAGAAGCTACGGGCAACCTCTGCCATCTCCTGGCGCGGGGATGTTACCACATGTCGTAGATCCCCTTTAATCATGGAGTCCGTGGTGGCGGTAATGATAAGGGGCGCTGGGATTGGCCGCGACGTTATGCTGATGACTCTGCTGGGATAACATGAGCGGGATCATCACTTCCACCATCGTTCAGTGGAAAGTTTCCCCTGCGAGTCAGTGTGGTGCAGCAATGGCGCCACCTATAGGCTGGAATAGGAATCTACCCTTCTGATAGTATACAGAGGTCATGTGAGACGGAGGGAAGAGCGACTCCCGATCCGGCCAATCCGGAGCCTCGATAGACATTGTATAAAGCTGAACTCCAGACTGATACAAAGTAAACACGTGATGCCGCTTTGTATTAGTTAAGACATCCGAACACGTATCTTTAAACACAAGCAGTGTCAGTACCGGAATGTGACCTGGGACCAGCCCCCCCCCATACAGCAGAACACAGACTGGGAGCAGGGGATGCAGCACAAGGAGCCAGTCAGTTCCTGTGCTAACAAGAAGCATGCTAATAGGAGGGGAGAGCAGAGTGACAGAGAGATGAGCTCATCACTGTGCTGCGTCTGCTTTCACAGGCTGGGGGCCGATCCAGGACAACCAGGGTAAGAAGAGAGAAACACAGGGCTAGTGTGGTGGAGAAGAGGACCTGGTGGCCATACCGTCCCATCATTAGTCTTGGCAGGAAAGTTCATGGTCATATTCCTTGGGGCTTACCATGACTCTGGGTGAGGCTTGGACTTCTGAAGTCCATAGTTGTCGGAATATTGAGGAGCGCAGGGTAAGAAGAGGGAAACACAAGGCTAGTGTGGTGAAGAAGAGGACCTGGTGGCCATACCGTCCCATCATTAGTCTTGGCAGGAAAGTTCATGGTCATATTCCTTGGGGCTTACCATGACTCTGGGTGAGGCTTGGACTTCTGAAGTCCATAGTTGTCGGAATATTGAGGAGCGCAGGGTAAGAAGAGGGAAACACAAGGCTAGTGTGGTGAAGAAGAGGACCTGGTGGCCAGACCATCCCATCAGACTTGGCAGGAAAGTTCGTGGTCATATTCCTTGGGGCTCACCATGACTCTGAGTGAGGCTTGGACATCTGAGGTCCATAGCCATGGAAATATTGAGGAGTGTAGGGTAAGAGAAGTGAAACACAAGTCTAGTGTGGTGAACAAGAGGACCTGATGGCCATACCATCCCATCATTAGACTTGGCAGAAAAGTTCATGCTTAGATTCCTTGGGGCTCACCATAACTCTGGGTGAGGCTCAGACTTCTGGTGTCAGGACATAGATCAGGGCAGGACAAATCCCGGGAGACAGGTAGCCATTGGTTTTTAAACATTTAAATAACTTTTCAGAT